ATCGGTTGATGATTGAAAATAGACGGTTTAAATTAATTCTCTACAAAAAAAGTCGAATAAAATAGAAAATCCATCTAACTCTTTCCTAATGTATATTTGTCTCAATCCATTAATTATTTAAGACAAAAAATTGTACCTAGAAAAATAAATAAAGAATTTGTGCATAGTAAATTTATTAGTTAAGTTCTCAATTCTAATTGTAGTAAATCATTGCAAAATCAATTTCATTTATATCTGAATTATATTTTTAATTTTTATATTACAATACAATATTTGGTTATATTAACATAGATACTATGTTTTTTAATTTTTTTTTAAATTTTATTCATTAAATTAGTATTCTATGTAAATTTTGTGGGTATATTTTATTTTTTTAATCCGACTTTGCATCGTGATATTTGATCTAAATCATGTAATTATCTAATATTTGTATTTAGAGATGGATATTGGGGTGATAGAGTGTGGTCTTGATCTAGAAAATTTGAATTTTCTTATTGTTTATGTATATATTTTTTATATTTTTTGTTAATGATCTAATTTTATATCTTTTGAAATTTGTAATTTTATACCCTTAAATTTTTAATATAAAATTTTAAATTCTTACCGCTTAACAGAAAATCTTACGCCAACCCATGTTTGTAGGTGTATATACTTACAATTAGAAAATATTCTTAAAGTAATATTTCATCTAAAATACGTGTAGTTAAATTTTCATCTATTTAGATTAGTAATATGGATTAAATAAAATAAGAGTTAATTGCATCACACGTCCTTCAATTATGACTCTCATTCTAAATTAATCCTTAAACTTTTGAACATTTCAAATTCATCCCTAAACTATAACATCATTCTAGACTAGTCCTCAAACTTTTGAGCATTTCATTTTAATACCCAAACTATGATCTTCGTTCGAAATAAGTCTCTAAACTTTTTGAACATTTCAATTTCATCCTAAACTATATGTATATACTAATCGCATCCCTTGTTAATAAATCGTTGAAACTAATTACATATTTGGATGAATTAGAAGATTCAAAAGTTCGAAGACCAATTTAGAATGAGAGTCGTAGTTTGGGGATGAATTAGAATGTTCAAGAGTTAATTTACAATGAGAGTTTAGGGTGAAATAGAATGTTTAAAAGTTAAGGATCAATTTATAAAACAAAAATATGGTATTTTCCAATAAAATGGTAAAAGAATAATATGGATTAACACAGCTCCTACAATAATTAATTCAAAATTAAATTAATAATTTAATTATAACAAAAATCAATTTCCCATTTTTTATCCCTATATAACAGACATTGGTTTCCTTCGTCTCTTCAGTCTTCTCTGAAACTGTACTCTCAAGTTGTTTCTTTCCTTAGGAAATCAAATATCATCAACGTCATGGCACCAAATGGAGTCGTCTCCGACAACACTTCAATCGTGAGCTTCGGTGAGATGCTCATCGACTTCGTCCCCACAATCTCCGGCGTTTCTTAGCTGAGGCTCCAGGTTTCCCAAAGCCCCCGTGGAGCCCCAGCCAACGTCGCGATCGCCGTCTCAAGACTAGGCGGTAAAGCATCCTTCGTCGGAAAACTCGGCGACGATGAGTTCGGGCACATGCTCGCCGATATTCTCAAGCAAAACGGAGTCTCCGGTGACGGGATCTTGTTTGACGAAGGCGCTAGAACCGCTCTGGCGTTCGTAACTCTACGCGCCGATGGAGAGCGTGAGTTCATGTTCTATAGGAATCCCAGCGCCGACATGCTGTTGAAACCGGAGGAATTGAATCTTGATCTCATCAGATCCGTAAGTCACATTATCATCTTTTTTCCTTCAACTCTGCAAATCGTTTGATCTCCTTCTTCAATCTTGACTTAAAGAACCAAAAAAATAACACTGATTCACACGCGCCGTAATGCGAGAGTAGAGTTTCAAATAAGACTGACATGTCAGCCACCTAGCCTATATTATTATGATCATAAGTGTTTACGGGGACCCACCCTGTGCATCTAGGAACAAAAAATTGTCATTCTATTCTTACAACTACAGCAACTGATATTATAACCCATCGGTGAGGTTACTGCTGACGTAACAGTGTAGTTTCCTTTATTATTTATTCATTCATTGGACATAATCTGATTCTGAAAATATGATTACTTTCCATCTAATGTGACGTAACAGTGTAATAGGAACGGATGTAAATTTTGCAGTGTTTTGTGGGTTTATATTATTATTTTTTATTAATTCGAGATAAATACATTATTTATGATAAGTCTATTTATTAAAGAACACTTTTAATCATTTGACATTAATATTTAAATTCGAAACATAAATGAATAATAACAATTTTCCTACTGTAATCACTTGGCTCGTGCAATTTACTTTAAATAACATTAATTACAAATTAAACTTCTTAGGCCACTGTTAATCAACCATATTGTCCAGTCACGTGGGTTTATATGATGTCTCTAGGGGTGTAAACAAGCCGAGTCGAGTTCGAGTGTTGCTGAACTCGAAAACTCGGAAATAGAATTCGACGAAAACTTACGAGTTTAAAATTTTCAAGCTCGACTCGAATTCGAAATGTTGAACTGAAGCTTGTGAGCAGCTCGAAAAGCTCTAATGAAGAAAAAAATTCTTAAACTTAATTCGATTAAAGCCTCAAACTCGAACTTGAACTTTAAAAACATAAAAATTACTCTATTTAAAAAAAAAATCAATACATAAATGTTAATATATTAATAATTTATTTTAAAATATAAAATCTTAATATATTATATTTTCGATCTTCTCACGAGCTTTTCGAGTCGAATATCAAGTAGTTCGTTTCGGTCGTTAAGAACTCGAGTCGAGCTCGAGTTCGAATTCATTCGATCCGAATATTTATTGAACCTTAACGAGTTGATCTCGAGTAACTCACATCTCTCATCTCATTTACGGCTCTATTGTCTCCAGATGAGTCCAAAATCATCAACGTCTATTAATCCCACTTTATCACGTGAGTTCACTGTTTAGTTTGTCCGTATATTTTTTTAAAATTTAGATGATTATAATGTTATTCTTTCATTAGAATTTTAGTGCATTGTTTAGGGTTTGTTTTTGTGCAGGCCAAAGTGTTCCATTACGGATCAATAAGTTTGATCGTGGAGCCATGCAGATCAGCTCATTGAAGGCAATGGAAGTGGCGAAAGAATCCGGTGCTTTGCTCTCATATGATCCAACCTTCGGCTGCCGCTTTGGCCTTCAGCCGATGAAGCAAGGAAACAAATATATCCATCTGGGATAGGCTGATATCATCAAGGTCAGCGACGTCGAGCTAGAGTTCCTCACTGGTAGCGGCAAAATCGACGATGAAACCGCTATGAAGCTTTGGCGCCCAACTTGACACTGCTCTTGGTCACCCTGGGTGAAAAGGGTAGCAGATATTACACAAGGTATGCTAACTATAAGGTTTATATATAAAGAAGTAAGCATAGACTAGACCCTCTCTGAAATTTCAAATTTTTATAACCGTTCCTGATTTTTGGTCAGAACTTCCATGGGGCAGTGGATGCTTTCCATGTGAATACGGTGGATACAACTGGGGCTGGGGACTCCTTGTAGGTGCTTGCTGTGCAAGATTGTTACACGACCCCCAGCCATACTTGAGGTATAACCCCATTTTTTTAATATATGATTGGTTTTATTTTCTTTTTAATTCTAAATGTTTTTATTTTATTTTAACTTTAAAACCAGAATGAATCAAAATTAGGGAGGTACTGATATTCGCGAATGCATGCGGGGCAATAACGACGAAAAAAGGAGCGATCCCAGCTCTTCCGCTGGAAGCCGAAGCGCTTGCCTTGATCATGGTGCTTAGGATAATCATTTGCTTTTTAGAGCATTTTTCAAGTTTTTTTTTTCTTTCTTTCATGTGCCTATGTAAAAGCCTTTGTGATTTTCGAAGGGCCTAGGAATAGGAATAAAACAACTTTTTTTGTTCATAATAAAAAAAATTAAACTTAATAACATATTTGAAACTTCAAATCATTACAATATCACATTATTTAAATACTTATTAAAAATATTCTAATTAAACAACATATAAGTTTGTTATTGTAATTTTTAATAATAATAAGCTTAAAAAAACCTTGGGTAAAATACACAAGTGATTACCGATTATAGGTTATTGTTTTGTTAAGTTTTTGTTATTAAAATTTACAAAATAGCCCATTGATTATAAGATAATTGTTTTGTTAAGTTCTTTGACTATTAAAGTTACAAAATAGTTACTCAATTATTATATTCAAATGCGTCATTTTATTTCTGTTATAAAATTGACGATAATTTGAGTTTGGATATTATATCTCAAATATACTTCAAAATCTCAAACGACTATCATATCTCAGTCAATAACGAAAAAAGACGAGTTTAAAATATATAAATAGTCGGATGATCATTTTGTAACAATCATAGTCGAGAGAATCAACCAAACACAAATATAAATGTAGTAATTAGTTTAAAGTAAAAAGTAAAAGAGAATGATAACTAAAAAGCACGAATCTTTAGGGTACGTTGATATACGGGATGCATAATTCACATATTTGATAGCTTACAGTGCTTTGAATGATATCTTCCATTGATTAAGAGGTCGGAAAAATCTAACACGGACTTGATTAATATATGTAATCCATAAATAACTGAAGAAATTTCGGATTTCAGATTAGGCAAGTAGATGTGCATCCGCCACTGCATATTCGGGTTTATGTCAACAATGGATATAAAACGTAACACAAACTAGAGTAACATAGGTTCATATTGACATACTGTTCCCATAGTCTGCAGGTAAATGCAAGAAAATACTAACCCGTGAAAATGCATTAATCACTCTCTCATGACAGATTGTTGTCCGTTGCATTCTTATCTCTCTCATGGATTTGAATATAGTGTTGGATAATCTAAGCAGTTACTATGCAGAATGGAACGGTGACCTGCCGGAACTAGGGTTTAATTGGCTTTCGAGTAGACCATTTTCTATTATGAAATCGCTTGGGGTAGCATTCGGTGACCTCCATTTCCAAGGAGCTCCAAGTTTGTTTGCATCTTCCCCTTTTCGACTGCAAGCGAGCCAAAAACGACTCTGCCCATGGCTCATTGCTCCCTCTCATGCTCAGTTCATAGGGCACTGAAAAACTGTAAAACAGATTTTGACAGAAACAATGGATATCATGATGTAGTCTTCAATATAGATACATCAGGAAGAAATGCAAATGTTCTATCAGATTGTGCCACTGTCGTTTAGGGGCAACGAAAGATGTAGCTTTACAAGAATTTTCAACTATAACATTGGAACTTTTTGAACCGGCAGTCACTAGGGTTAACTATAGCAAGCTTCACTCCCCAAACCTTACACCACCCCAAGGTGGCACGGAAAAAGTAACGGTGCCTCTCCTCTCCCTCGAAAGAAAACAAAGAAAACGAAGAATGTAATTTCTGCCTAAGAGGAGACTTACCTCAGACTCGAAACATGTTACATCAACGAACTTACCTCATTAGTTCCTCCAGATGTGATTCTTTATTGGACGTACTTTTCCTGAAAAAAATCAAAATTTGACGAGAACAAACAATTAACTATATGTATGTATGTATATATATATTTTTTTGGGGGTAGGGGGTTCAGAATTCAAGGAAATGTTTCCTCGAATCTGATTCCTCGATATCCTATTAGCTACTTCAATTTTTTCTCTTGAATTGACACTGAAACTTCCATTCAATTTCATGCATTTCTTTGTATGCTTTGGGATTTGAACTTTTGGGACCGGATCAACCTTCTTCCTTCACATGATGAAAAGGCAATTTCCAGAAAACATAGCTAGGAATTTTACTAAAACAAAAATTCCAGCATGTACTCAGCCGTAATTGGCTGTGTTTGAGCAATTGGTGGTCCCTCATTCTATATTGAAGTCAAACAATCCAAGACAAGAGGAAATGGAAGAACAAACCTCGATACCAAAATTTTGTAGATAGAAGAAATTTGGTGGAAAGGTTTATATAGCATCTCCGATATGGTCCTTTCTAAACAAGTACACTACTGGGTACCTAGAAGCCATCTGCACCAGAATAGAATCCCTAGAATTATAAACGTAGAATATATGGTACCCCAATATAGAAACCACCAAAGCAAATCGACATGGTTTTTGTAAAATTATAAAGTCTACTGGTTTATATTATGTCTTTTTTTCTTTAGTTGAGATACATTGGCAAGTTGCTTATGTAAGAACTTAGAAACAGAGAAAATTGCCCCTAGATAGATAGAGCCGCCAACTCCTCAGTGCAGACAATCCATTGGACCACATTTAGATGGCCATAATCAAAATTTTGTACTTGAAGGAATTGCAGATAGAATTGTCAGTTCTCTATATAATACATTTTCTTGAAATGCATGTACTCAACATCTGCATCCGCCATATATATGGGTATGTGTATAGGAATATGAACTTACAAGGATACTTGAAATATGGAAAAACTAGGAAAAAATGAGCATACCTGTATCAGACACATTTATATCCCAACATTTGCACCTGAATCAAAATTATAGTTTTTTTTTTCATATTTCATCGTCTAAGTTATTTTTATACCATTCAAAATGTCCTGATTGAAAAGAACTCTAAATTTTTTTATAAAGTAATACGCATTATATTCTGTTAATTTTAAGATTTTATTTAATAAATTTAAAAATAATTATTATATTTAAAAAATTATTTTTAAAAAAAAGTCAGTCCCCTCTCTTCCGCCACTCCCAAGCCTTCTTCTCCTACCCACCCCCTCCCGCCCTCCTCCCTTGCCCCTCACACTTCCTTCCTTCCGGCCCAGTCGCCCCCTCCCCTAGCCCCTTCCCGTCCCCCATTCTTCATTTCCCTTTGTCTCCTTTTACTTAATATTAGTATTTGGTAACAACAATCAGAGTGACTATGACGGTGGTTGTGTCATCGGGTGCTGTGTCTTTGGTGAAGATTCGATCAGATGAAGGTTCAATCGACGCTAATCGTAGTGTCCTGTGTGGATATATGGATTAAAATAAATGTTTTGAAAGTTTTAAGGTTTTTTTAAGATTTTCAAAATTTTGAATTTTTTTATAAGAAACATATTTTAAAGTTTTTTATTTTAAATAAATCTTCATAATATTAGAACGTGACACACATGTAACTTAACGGAAATTTTTAACGATTGTCATTGAAAAATGTCTTAAACTCAACCAATCTAGCCTAGAACCATTCGGTTTATTTTAAAATAAATCATAATACTAAATTATATTGATATTCCTTAAAATAAGGAACCTAAAATTTAAATTTATATCATAATAAAATTCATAATTTTTGATATATGATTATTATTCTGCAATATTTTATTATATTTATTTAATTATAATTTTCAATATTATAATTTAAGGTTATACACTTATGGTGTTATAATCATAGTATAATTATTTATTTATTGTAGTTTACTCTAATAATAAATTTTTGTAGTTATACTAAATAAAATAGTTTACTAAATAAACTACTTAAATGATAATGGAAGTAAGAGTAGTTTTTGTTTTTGTTATTGAAGTTTTAAAGTAACAAAAAACAATCACTAATATTATCGTTTTATAATAAATCAATCACTCAACCCTTAACGTTATTATTGTAGTCACCTAATATAATGTGGCACGTTGGACGACTGAGTTTGGAATTGTTTGGTCACGTTGACGCCCTTTTACCAACCACTTTAAGGTTGTGTTTGTTTTTACAGAGGTAAAAGGTCTGCAGTCTGTGGACCACATC